CGAATCTGAATCGTTTTGAAGCTGTTTGGGGTCTATGCTTGTATAATGTGAACGACTGACCATGGCCTTCAAAACTCTTCAGACACTGAGGCAGCGGATTGAGGCAGTTAAGAAGCACTGCCGGACCCAGCCAGAAAAACTTATGAGGCCATGTTGATCGCCCTAGAAGAGAGATCTAGAGACTTCTTTTCCACTGTCTGTTGGACAGCAAAAGTCTTTGATGAACGGTGTGGCCCAGCATGAACAACATTAAACACATAAAGCTCAAAGAAATAAACTTGTTCGACCCGAGCTGTTTAAAATATATTATTTTTTGAAGTGAAATCCAAACCAGCCCTGTGCGTAGGCGTGACACCTACCAGAAGATTATGCTCTACTATGTTGAAACGGCTGTCAAGGGCACCTTCAAGTCACTAGGTTGCAACACAACCTGACCTATAACAATTCATCCTGAACTAGCTAACTGTTCTAAGGCGAGCTTCTTCGATTCAAGTCAACCAGCGAGCACGTCTTCAGATTGAGGGCCTTGCGATGCCGCTCAGTCTGGATGGTGCCCCAGGACATACACCAGCTTGCGGCGACAGCGCAGGCCTAGCAATGTGTTCGAGACCCGTGCCATAAGATTTAAGCAATTAAACTTCTGCAGGCGATGTACACGTGGAGGATTTGACCAAGGACGAGGGCGTGGAGGATCAGGCTGGGAAGCTCCGCAAGAAGCTGGGCATTCCAGAGCTTGACCCAGACGCCCTACCTAGTGCAAACTTGAACAAATACTTGCACCTCAACTTCAACCGGTCTAGCTCCAATTTAATGGAATGGTGGCAGAATGTGAGAAGGAATGAACAAATTGTGGCAATACAATAACAGATCGATAAGTCCATGTACGCTGTGATTATTCTAAGGCAAGCGCTTGCGAAGCGCATCTCAACCACAGCTACGATGGCGGACAAGTTTCGGGACGCACAGAAACAGACAGATGTCCAGCAACGGCTGGTTCCCCAGAACATGGTTGAGCTTTGAATTACGTTCACAAAATCAATCTTGAGTATGTCAGAGTCTGAGGCTTGGAAAAGCCCTCAGGGATTCGGTGACTGACCTGGAGACAGTACACACGGATCTTGCCAAGGAATACTCGGCAGGTGTTGTGAAAGGCTTCACAAAGGAGTGCCTAGCCTAAAGCTTTCAACCTGGACATGCTTTATCGTTTCGATTGCGGGCTTGAGTAGCCAGACTTTAGACTTTAGACTGTATACTGCTGCGCATCGTGAATCGTAAACGTCTTGCCTGCTCCCAGGGATGAATGCCGGCTGAAGACCTTGATTGACAATGCGCACGAAAAGCTCTGGCCCAAGAGTCTTTGTGACACTGAGTTCTCTCTGCGGCTGATTCTAACTCTACGCATACAAGTATTTTGAAGATCTAAGGGCATCGAACAGCCTTTCTTTGGAAGCTCGAGCAAGGCTTGCTTGAAGTTTCAATTCTTTCATCCTTGCTGCAAGCTACTTTTCGCAGGCCCTTTGTGCCGAAGGCTGGGAAGGATAGTAAAAGTGCCAAGGCTCCCAAAAGGAATGCTAAGTCCAAGGCAAAGCCCACCGGCAGGGGCAAAGCCAAAGCTGCCAAGGTGGAGTCGCCTGAGTCTGCTCCCAAGCGGAAGCGTGGTAAGTAGAGAGTCAGCACTTCTGCTTATGCATGGTTCTTCACGCTACCTTTAGGTGGTAGCTTGTGTAGCCACTTGTGACAGGGAGACTTTAGATCGCAGTCTCTGAGTGAGACTGAGTATTTGTTGTGTTTTGACACCTTGAGGTGTGAAGAGACTCTTATGGAATCGGATTGGTTTTGTTTTGATTTAGCAGGTGTCAACATTTGGGGGTTCTTCAATGGAAGCTGTGTGATGAACATGCAGCCAAAGTTGAATTCCGGCGGAAGGATGTTTCAATTCACTACCAATGGACGCTAAGGGATAGAAAAAATCCTGAACACTGATCGACTGAATGCAGAATAGCGCAGCAAACTCTTTTTGCTAGTGCTGTGGATGGTTTCTGAGGGGTGGTCAATCAAACCCTGGTAGACTGGTAGTGGCCAGGCTCTGGGTCAGCTTCCTCACAACCAGCTCCTGCTCCTGGTGATCTAGCCACCAACTACGCGGAGATCCTATCAGATGGGGTCCCCCTCTTAGTGATTGTCAGGTATGCTTCCTTCCCCTGGTTTTGGTGCAGCCTGTCGTGCGTCCTTAGGTTCCGGCAGCAACTCTGAGCGGCTTTGCTGCTGCAGCCAGGAAGGAGCTAGGTGGTCCTGAGCTGTCAACTTCCTCCAGTTCCAAGAATGCTTGCAGAAATGCTCATGCCTTCATTCGCAAGTGGGGTCTTAGTTGGCAGATCCCCTTCTCTTACATCGACTATGGAGATTTGAAGGTTCCATACCTCTCTCCTCAATCCTTCATGAAATTTCTTTTGAATCGAGCACCAGAACTCGTCCTGGGAGGGCAGGAAATTTCAACCGGACAGCAGTCTCTCAAAAAGTTTTGGGACACTTATGAGTCTTTCCATCCTACGCATGCAGTCTACCAGCTTCAACAACCAGAAAGAACAAGAGGAAACACTTTAGTGCTGCAGCTTCACGGAGATGAGGGCCGGGGATTGAAGAAAGGTAATACATGCGTCATCATGGTGGAGACCGTCTTGGGGCTGGACAGTTTCCAATCATCGTCCAAAAGGCAATCCAGGGCCTGCGAAGATTGCTGTTTGAGCGAGAAATCTGCAAAGCGGTGTCGGCTCGCCTCTGGCTTCAGGGAATGTTCAACCAGTGTCTCTAGCGATGACTGCCCTACACACATGCAAACAAACTACAAGTTGCACTCGTACCTGACTCGATTTGTGTTGGTTGTCCTTCCCAACCGCTTGAGCAAAGACAAGAACTTGCTCAACCTGATCTTCATTCGACTCACCGAAGACTTCAAAGAGTTGTTTGAGAAGGGTGTTGCCACACAGTCTGGGCGGTGGTTCGGGGCCCTGTTGGGGTTCAAGGGGGACCTCAAATGGTATGAGAAGATTGCTTCACTGGATCGATGCTTCAATCGGCAATTGAAGTCGGAGGCTCACATGTGTCATGAGTGTTTAGCCGGCGTTCCCACGCTGCCTTTCGAGACGATCTCTCACCATCCAGCCTGGGAGGAAACAATCTATTCGCAGAGACCCTGGTCCTTTCCTCCACCTTGGGAAAGCATTCCTTTCAATGTGGACAACCAGAACCCCAAACCTGAGATGATTCTCAGACGCGATGTATTCCACAATTTCAAGCTTGGTGTTCTGCGTGATTTCACTGCTTCAGCCATCCTCCTCCTGTGCCACTTGAAGTATTTTCATGAAACGAAGACGCGTGGGTCTGGAATCAGCAACAAAATTGATGTTCTGCTAGAGCGAGCCTATCACCACTTCAGGCTTTACTGCGATACATCGAAGAGGTATCCAGCACTACATAGTTTCACCCCAATTTTCTTCAACCGTACCAAGTCTACAGACTACCCCTGGATGAACGCAAAGGGCTCTGACATAGTTCTGGTAGTGGCCTGGCTTCGGGTCTTTGTGGCAGGCCTACTTCTCAATCCACTTGCTGAAGATCACAAACATGTTTTGGCGGCCATTCAAGAGGGTGCTGCCGCAGTGGAGAATTTTCACGGAATTCTGTACACACACGGCATTTTCTTGCACAAGGAGTGTGGGGCACGTCTTCACCAAGAGCTTCACACCGCGCTGAACTGCTACAACAAGTTGGCATTCCATTCGTTGTACGGGTACTCTTTTTGTGGCTTCTCTATGAAGTCCAAGTTCCATGGAATGTGCCATACAAAACGTGATTTGCTTGTTGATCTGGAGTCAGCTACCTCTGCATATGTAATTTCACCTCTATGCTTTGCCTGTGAAGGCAACGAGGACACCATCGGGCGCATATCCCGCCTCTCTAGAAGAGTCAGTCCAAGGATCCCAAGCAAGAGAACTTTAGAATTGTATCTTGTAAAGGCGAAGATGGTTTACGATCGGTATCGTAAGCAAAGAAAGATCAATGGACAGGGGACGCCAAAGAAGTGACCGTTCTGTTCATGAGCTTTTGCACTTGCTATGGCCTACTAAGAACACTAAGAACATCTAAGAACCTTGTTTGTGGCAAATACCACCCCCTGTTGACGACTTGGCGCCCCAGCATCCACGGCATCAACGCCGACCAGAGCCGTGCACTTGAGCAGGAACAAAAGGCAGCAAAGGAGGGGCGGACACACCAAACCATTCCCAAACGACCTTTTTTTTTCCAAACGACAACTCTTGAGAGAAACGACCAAATAAAACTGAGTTTCAACCAACCACAAAAAAAGGAACACCTAGATGTTCCAGGTATATATATATACATGGACCTTAGAACCTTTGGAAGACGACTTTCCTCTACAACCCGATGTGGTGAACTCAGGTTCGGACTGTGGACCTCTTCCCGGGTGTACAGAATCTTATGAATTCTGGGACCCAAAAAATACACGTTCGTGATCTGTGGTGCTTTTTGTTGTGCTCGTCGCTCTCTCTTCACAGTGGACCACCCGGTGCACCGGTGCAATCACTCATTTTCGCAAAAGGGCGAAAAGACGTGAACAGTACCCGTTTGGCCTCCAGTCGTACCTTTTGAGAAGGTGAGACTGGGGTGGGTGCCAGGAGGGTCCAGTCATACTTTCTGAGGAGGTACGACTGGAGGTGTAGGGGTATAGAAACTCCTATTTTCAGCCGTGTACCCCGTGGAAAATTCACATGGATCCTGAAAACCACTGGTCCAGCTACTTGTAAAGCAGGCAGACGACCCGGGTGCCATTCGACCCGGGATCCATGTCGAGTTGCCGGAGCGATGGACCTTCCAACGGCGCACGCCTTGTTTTGGGCTTCCCTCTGTTTGGGTCCGCCCTTCACCCCGAGGACGTCGACCAGATCTGAAGTCGTTCGTCGACGCGTTCGGCATTTCCGCGTCGACCGGATGTTCGTCGTGCGCACGACCTCGAGGAAGAAGCTGGATGAAGCGTTGTCCAAGCTCCAGGACACTCGACCCTCCGCCGTTGAGGGCGTCCATCGGGGACGGTGAGTAGACCAGCTTCATCGGCCGCGGAAACTGGAATGATTGGAGGTGGATGAAGCTGGCGCCAGTGGATTCAACGGTTTCGTATGACTCGGTTTTCCGGTGTGCAACAAAGATGGAATACCTCCCGATCCACTGCCACCGTACCTCAGAAGGTATACCACTTGGACCCTCCAAACCTACATCACCGTGTCTCCAATCACCTTCTGAGAAGGTAATTACTTGGAATCCCTAGGGCATTGGAATAGCATGAGCTCCATTCCTAGGCGCCCAGATCTGATTCGCTGGGCGGATTGGAAGAGCTCTTCCCTCACCATTGAGCTGATTGGAGATGTTAGACCATCCTCCTAAGGCGATCCCCTTGGACTATTGACCATGGTACTTGTCAGCATGGTACTTGTGAGATCAGCTCAATGGTGGAGGGAAGAATCAAGATCCACAGGCGTCCACTCCTACCAAGACTTATCAGGCCTCACGATCAAGAGCTTGACAAGTACCGTGGTCAATACTCCAAGTGAACCGCCCACAGGGGGCATGGTAAGAATGCTAATGAGGGAGTTATAAAGGCCATTCTAAGTAGGTTCGTGCGGCATCCTGGAAATGCAGGATCCCTGTGTTCGCGGAGAGGTGGAGGGACTAGAACTTTCCGTGTCAGAGTGCATTGTTTGGGGGACGCAAACTAATATACTGGAGAAGTACACCTTGCTCGGGTTGACAAAGCTGCCTTTTCCATGATGTTTTAATGTTCGTTCAATTCCACAGTACTTTTCTTTTTGGACCGTATGGCATATCTGCCCTTGCATGCTCCAGTCTCCCTCCATCAAGTTCCAGTGCAACCATCCTTGAATCAAGAAGCACAAACAGATGTTTGTGTTTCATAACATGTGGCAAGCATGCATTTTTTTGCGGGGTCATTTTCTCGTCTCTTGGTGAAACGCTCTGGGTCAAAGACATACTCCGGTTGCAGACCGGCAGAGAAGTTCTGTGCTCCAACTCCGAAAGGAATTGTATCAGATCGCCACGGACTTCGGCTTTTACCACTTGGTCCTGGTGATCGTGGACTGCAAGGGCTGGGGTGGTTTTGGGTTGGTGAGAGCTGGCAGTCCCAGATGGCAGGACCTTTAGGACGGAAATCTTGGGTATAAATGGAGCCATAAATCATTGATGGCCTTTGCAATTTTGCAATATTTTGCTCATTGGAGGATGCTAAGTAGGATGCTACATAAGACATCACATTTGAGGCTCTAAGCACATTCCTTTAAGGACCGACTACAAACAAGGTCTGTTTGGTGGGCTCTGGGAGGCGTACCCCTATGTGGCCTATACAAGTATCATTGGAAGCAGATACCTCAAGGGTATTACATATTATTACTAGAGGCTTCGAGCTGAAACAATAACCGAAGCAAAAACATGTTTGGTTCTCATTGAATGCTACCCCAGCTCCCATCTGGGTTGACCCGTGCAGGACCTGTCCTCATCTACGCAGGATTTGGACGCAGGCGTCCGGTCCGTCGGGTGGTGCACGGATTTTGGAGGGCCAGATCACTCGACGACTCGTCGCTTCATGAAACGCCACCAACGTTGGGAATTTCCCCCAAGATCGACCATCGTTGGCAAATTTCGCCCAAAACGGCCTGATGTTGTCTACTGCGTTGTCTGGAATGCCATTTCTTGGCCGGAAAACCAGCGTTGAACCTGGTAGCGGAAGGGGGGAAGGTCGCAGAGAGATGGACCCGTCACCTTCCCTATATGGATCCTGACACGACCCGATGCCTTTGCAGCAAAAACCATCTCTGTTAGGGAAACACTTGTTCTTTCGAATCCCCCAATTGGTTAGACGCTGACCAGGAGTCCAGCCATCCGGGTTCATTTGCTCGGACGAATCGTTGACCCGTGTGTATCCGTATAGTGTGTAAGGTAGTGTCCCGTTTGGGATCCAGTCGTACCGAACCTCAGGTACAATGAGGATGTGTTCGGCGCTGTGATGATAACAGGTGCCAAGTCACGTCGGGTCCAGTCATACCGAACCAGGTCGGTACGGTGGCTGTGGATCCCTAGGCTGCAGAAGCTTCACCACACGTTTTCTGTCGCTCGTCCACGTTGAGGTTGCTGCGGGGATCTGGCGGGACGCTCGTTTTGGATGTGCATGTAATGAGTCATATCGACCTATCAACCTCTTTCACAATCCCTACACCTCCAAGTACCTCCTCAGAAAGTATTTGGACCCTCCAAACCCACCCCAAACACCTTCTCAAAAGGTACGACTGGAGGCCAAACGGGAATATATCTCTCAAATTCTCTGAACATCACATGGACTCTGCAGAAAGATGTAGAAAAGTCTCATGCCCCCCCCCAAGAATTCATTCCAACTCATTTCAACTCCAACAGACGAGGAAACCCCACCTCGCCACTCCACCCTTCCCTTCGCCCTGGCCCCCGAAACCCCGAACCCCCCCAAAACACTGGAGAAACGATGGCTACCCCCTTGTGCAAATGATTTCAGGGTGGGGGTATGTGAGCCAAATAATTTGTTCAAAATAGTTTTGACTTTGGAGGATACGTCGAGGTGGGGGTTCCATGGACCTCCAAAATAATAAACAGCTATCACTCAGAGCAACTGAAATAATTAACATACATTGATGACCATTGTAACTTCCATGCACCCAAAATAATTTTGTTAAAGAGCGCTCAAAGGATGTGCAACGTGAGGCACATAGAGACAGATTAAACCTACCTGAAAGATAAAGCAGTGAGGATTAAATATGATTTTTTTCACCAACCCCTACAGTAAACTGTTCGGGGAAAACATAGTTGCCCAAACAATACACGCTAAGACATGCTGCAATGCTATCGGGGAAAACCATCTTCGTTATCAGTTTCTTTCATTGTGCAAAACTATTTGGGGGGTGGGGGTGGTTGGCTGGGGACCCCCAAAACAAGACTGGAATGCTTTATCTTCTCAAATTTCCTTTCAAATCTTTCCTGCCATGTGTTCACAAAAGATTCTTTGAACATATTTTGTTTGAACAAATTCTGTGAAAATACTGGCTTTCCACTAATGTCCTTCAACACTCTTGAAACGTCAAGGACAGACAGGAAATGAAGGAATTTGGACAGCAAACCACTTAAACAAATGTTTTTTTTTCACCAATTCTCCAAAAATCTTAAATTTCAAGAATTGCCCTCAAAACTCCTCAAACATCAAGGGAATACAGGAACTAAAGGAATTAGAGCAGGAAAATAATTATAAGAATTAAAAATTATCTAGCTACTTTTTACATCTTTTTACACTTTCTCTCCTCTCCCCTGTCTCTGTGTCTATGCCCTTAACGGGGGGAGACACAGGGAGTACGCTGGCCGTGAATGCATTGCGTTTGGGTCGGTAGCGCTCCGGACGGCGACCACGTCTCGGGCACCGCAGGCTTCGGCGCTTGGCTTCGAAGCTTCTTCCCCTTGCAGGACCGGTCCCGACCGCTCGCGACCGGTCGACCGGTTCCGACCGGTCGACCGGTTAGAACGAAGCGAGGCGACGTTCCTGACCCAGGCAGAGCCCGAGAATGAGGGGATAAGTAAATAGTACTCGCCTAGCTCTAAGGACCATTAACATCAGTTACATTAGTAAGTCTTACTTCGATCCAGTCCGGGTCGGTTTGGGAGGTTTGGCTTTGATATCGACAGTTCGTCCTGTGGGTCATGGCACCGGAGCACCCTGAACTGATTTGTCGTTTGATCTCTGGGTGTCATCCTGCCATGGTGAGGGAGGTGCCATGACGAAACTTGCCAAAGAGGAGTTAGGAGATCCATGTCGAGTCGATATGATTTATAGTTTCCCTATGGATCCACATACCTTATCAGAAAGTAATTGGACCCTCCAAGCCTACATACATAGTCTCCAATCACACTCTGAGAAGGTATGTGGATCCATAGGGTTTGATTGTCAAGAGTTCGGTGTAACATGGTGTAACTTCGTTGTGCAAGG